GACAACCTCCCTGGAGCACCAGCACCGCGGCCCGGTGGGTGAGCCAGCATCACACACACGTTGGATTCTTCTCCATGCAGCCGGTGGACTCAGCCAGCAAGATCAATGCTGCCAACATTACCACTGCTGGGACCCTCTATAAAACATCCCACTATCCTTCCTGGAGCAGGGTACAACCCTCGTCCTTGCCCCGGCCCCATCTCCACGTATCTGCTCCATTCCCGTAGGCTGCTCCTCATCTCTCCTCCCTCCTGAGCAGACCTGCATCTTTACAAACAAACGACAGCAAATCTCAGAAACCCAAGTGGATCCTCTGTAGATAAAGAGCCCGATTTAATCGTGTCCAAGGGACTCATGAAGGGGCTCATGCATCATAACTGGGTCATCCAGCCCTGCGGCTTTGGGAGCACAGGTAGGACCTGTATCAGCAGACTGGATGTCAGGATGAACACACAACCTTCAACAGGGGGGCAATTGCTGGGAAAACAGCTCAGCGTGACCTGGTTTGCAGGTAAACTTCCTTCTGAGCTGGATCTACCATTGAAAAAACACTGAGCAGCACTCTGCTCCTGGGAGGACAGTTTTTGAGCCCAGCCTAAACAGTCAAATGACTTGCAGGGCTGTTCCTAACCCCACAGCTTCAGGAGCACCAACACCACTACCAAGGCATTGAGAATGACCAGAGAAGCAGGTTGATCTGGGAGCACCATTCCCAGCACCCTGCCCAGCTCATCCTCAGACCAGAAGCCTGACCTGCTCTGCTGCCAGCTCACTTTTAGATGCAGGCATGACGCCACAAACCCTCCCTTCAAAGGTGACACACAGCTTTGGTACCTGTTCCTCTCTTTTCAATCGTGAAAGGATTAACGTCAAACAAGGAAGAGGCTGTCAGTTGGCTCCTGATCATCCTGGGGCCACCCGAGAGTGCCGCTGGTCCAGCAGCGTCTCTACAAGTCAGGCTGCCACACCAGCCTACCTTTAATAACTTTTTTTTTCTTTTTAAATAAAAAGAGCGAGCATAAAACACTGACCACATTTTAAATCTTGTGACAAGTAACATCTCAATAAAAGGCAGGATGACATTAAAGGAAAACTTAAAAAGAGTGAACATTGTAATTTCAAAGACACAAAAACCAAAACAAAAGCACAAACACAGCTATTTTTCCCTCCAGAGCACTCTCACTTTCAAGCTCAATAGCCTTGAAAATTGGAGCAATCAAACTGTTAAATGCATTGATCTGTTAAATCAACTCCTACTGTACTCAGCTCAATTTGGGCTTTAGTCCCCTCTCTTTCACCCCCTACACTGCAGATCCTGGGCTTTCCCCAACCACATCAACTGGCCTCTGCCTTCCCACACCACCATGGACTGGTCCCTAAGCAAGCAGAGATGGAGATCACCAGGAGTGACTGTATTTAGGGACAGATTCAGCTTCTCCATCTTCTCCCAGCCCACAGTTATTCACCGTATGCAAGTCTTTATGCCAGAGATACGCACAAGAGCAGCCTGGACACTGACCTTTGCCAGGTCATCATCACAAAACCACCAGGAACCTCTTGTAGCTTTGCATGTACATTCACCAGACACCACCACTGTGCTGAAAAGCAGCCTGAGCCTTGCCAAGTGCAGGCCATTCATGACATTTATACTTGCTGACAGCATCCTCCCCTCTCCTCTTTTCATCTTCTTCACGCTCCTTTAGAAGCAGCCTGACGCAATCGCTGTCACAGCACGACAAGGTTTCTGCTCAGCCTTGTTCCCATAGCCCACGAGCGAGTGGTTCCCCGAGCCAGGACTGACAGAATTCACCACTGACTTGTCAAGGTGATTAGAAATTGGGTAAGCTGGGTAATAACCCTAAAACATCAGTGAACAACTGCGGGCCCTCGGGCACACCACTCACTGTCATCTG